ACGTCGGCAGTGCAGGAACAGAGCGGCCAAGTGAGCCGGTTACTGAAGCAGCATCAGCCAAAGTACCATTCAAGTCTAAGAATGTAACATACAACAAGCTGAGCCGAGAAGAAGAAAACAATAACAAAGCGCTCTTCACCAAGCCGAAATAAAAACACTTGTTTTTTGGCAGGCGACCACAGCCAAGAGGCACACCACTGGCCGTTGTTTTTGTTTTGCGAACCCCTCCCCCACACCGCGCTACACATAATCTATAACACTACCCAGCCGTCGTTGAAGCCGAGGGGAGATTCACACACTACGACGGTGGCTGAAACGCCCTCAGCAGCAACGCGCAGCATCGACAACGCAGTAAGACGTCACCTGCCGAAAACTTGCTGCATATAAAAGCAACGGACTTGGCGCAGATAAGACACTATCTTTAAAATACCTGTACGCGGCGGACGTTAAGTCAAGTCAAAGTCGGAATTACTCGACAACGAAAGCAATCAACAACAATATCGAATCGCAAACAATCGGCCAGTGAACAAATAAATAAATAAACAAACGATCTTCAAACAACAACGAGGTAATGACAACAACAGAACATTTATATCGAACAATGTAAGAAATCACTGTCTGACTGTCTGTCTGTCAGCGTGCATTCAACGGGGGCATCATTCATCCCACAGACGACGTAATAGTAGTATGAATATGTTGGTGTTCTGCCCAAGTGCCAGGTGGAAACATACATACGCCGCCAGTTGAAGAAAGTGTGTAAATGTATGTGTGTGTGTGTGTTTTTATTACGGAATATAGACAAATTCAAAAAAGGACTATGAGTCATTAATTGTGTTTGTGTGAGGTGATATATATCTATATGTGTATATATATAATTTTTATGTGTAGCAGATTCTTGTAATTAATACAAAACTCATTGGTTGCAATGCCGATACCAAATTTTATCAATATCAGATATGGCATTTAATATGTAACGAAATAGAAACTACTCGGAACCCTATCGGTATGAACGTTTCCACCTAACGTGATGCCGTTTAGAAAGGAATGTGGTTTACTAATGGAAGGATTATCTTCAAATATTCAACCGCTACATGTGTCGAATATGTTGCATTTGGGACATTGGCGACGAATTGCGATACACAGCTGAGAATGGTATTTTGTATGTGTTCGTTCGTCAATGTGCTTAGCTTCCTTAAGTATTCTGTCTGTAATCTCCAAGTTTTCTAATATGTTCGTCATTCTGTACCAATGGCAATAACGATAAATAAATAACGTAAATATTTTCTAAGTTTATATCCCGCATTTTTTTATTACTTCCCGATATTACAATGTGCTCGAAAAATGTCACGACAGTTCATCGCGACAGATCAACAAAATTCTGGAAATAAGTATCGGAATTTTTGGATTTCTGTTCTTAATATATAATGGGAAGTATTTTGTTTAATGTTAACTCTGCCTTTAATAACTCCGAATCGCAATATAATATATAATTCGAATCTAAACTCAGTTATAGTGTATCTACTCCATTGTAATATTCATGAAAATGTAGTTCTGCAGAATAGAACACTAATAATTATTGCAAATTCATACTATTAACATCGACATCTGATCCGAGGGGGCGTGAATGGAGAAAACTGAAGGAATCCTCAAAAACACGGAATTCCTAGATTCATAGGGGGGAACAAATCCAAAATATTTTGGATCTAAACGTTCACTAATTCTTACTTTCTCCGCATTTCTAGAGCACACAACAGGCCTCAATTGACTTATGTGTATGTCCTTCCCATGTTGGACATGTGGTAGTATTATCCACCCCTCTTTTCAACCTAACCTAACATCGTTACCTATAATCCGACGTGGCGTACAAAAAATGCAATTTGCTTACTATGGCAAAATGTTGTGTACGACCTTATTATTACCCAAATACGTCAAATTCATATCTTCAAGCGAACAATCTAAATATTTTATGTTCTAATTTGAAACTTGACATTTCAACGTAAAATTTCGTACGCTCCAAATTGCATGTGTTTTTCTTTTGTGGCGAAAATCAAATTAAAAAATAAAAACGCCCTTATGGCATATGCCTAAAAGTGCGGTTTACACTTTGAAAATACAATCTAGTACGTTTATAACGATTTTTTCTTATAGCGAAAACCCTATCTGGTTCCGAAGGTTTACATTTTTCATAAAAATCTTTACTCTTATAGCGAACAACGGATATAGCAAAGAATGGGTGTAACGAAGAGTTCTGTGTGTACGGGATATAACGAACTTTATATAAATAGACCTAATATTTAACGATGACAATCACCGTTAAAATATTTTCAAATTCAGTTGTAACTAAAATACCACTTCACAGTGTTCGGAAGTGAACTATGATATGTTTATATGCATGTAGAGACAACAGTTTGTATTAATTTCGTCAAGTGATTCTACCTTTATTATTGTATTATAGATACATACATATGTATGTGTTTTATAAATCGTTAGTAAATCCCCATTTCTATAATTTGAATATTTTCAATAATACCTCAATTCTAAAAATAGCAACAAAAGTGTGTACGGGCTACTGCTCTCGCACACACAGACACAAGGTCCAAGCGAAGAGAAAATATTGTTAGAATAAAAAATGCTGTTGGTCATTATTGTTGTTTTTTTTGCCGTTGACGGATTTAAATTTTTGGATGCTAGAAATTACACATCATTTTTATGGTGGAACTGGTTTGACCATATATATATATATATATGTGACTGTATATACAATACCACAATATTTCACTTTTTAGTATACATAATAAACACAACTAAATCGACTTTCTATTTCAATTTCTTTGATTTAATTCCATGTCGAAATAAAAAAACACAAACATATCCCATTATTATAGTCCGCATATGAAAGAAATTAAAAAAGATGGAGAGGGAGATGTATGGTGACTCTGCTTAAAGAATTCCATTAAAACATCACGCATACCCTCTCTCAGAGCACATGAATTTGCATTCCTTAAAAACGATTTACGGACATTCCAAAACAACAAATAATCATACATAGTTTAAGCACGCGTTCCATCGGATTGGGGATATTAGCAAAGCTTATTGATTATGACACTAACAACGAATCGAATATTGGGTCAAATACTACACAACATCCGTTGATTGATTTCGGATGGTGTATTTTTACTCCACGCGAAATAATTGATCGATATTTTTGTAAATAAGATAATGTCCAATAGTCACGTTAATCAGTCACCCCCTCCTCTACCGTTTACAGAATAAATTATTGAATTAATTTCACTTTCACATTACATCTGATCAATGCCGAAGATGTTTTCATATTCTCTTAGCTTTAATTTTTAATTGGTGTCAACCGGCAGGCAATAGCCACAGCTTTTACATATCTAAAATATAGATACCTTTTTCAATAAGTGGCCAACTCCTATATAAATATGTACTTATATAGGGTTCTGGAGGTTTGCGTCCAAGCATATCATCGAACGAGTACATTTGTCGTGCCAAACATATTTACGCCCATACAGGTGTACGTACTCTGGTAATTGTTATACTTTGAATATTACGTTGTCACCTTGCCATAATTATGACATTATCGGCTCTATCACAACAGCTTGACTCCGTTGCACGATGGCATCATAGTATGGGTTTGAAAAATACCGGATCAACGGTAGCTCGCTCGGCCGAAAACCCAGTAACCGTACCAGCAACGGCATCAACGCCCCATCACCACAATTATCACAGCATTGTGGTCGGTTGTTAGCAAATTCCGCCAACTAATTCTGTTTGATCTTTTACGTAATGTGATTTGCTTACACACATGCAATATACATATGTACATTCGTGCATTCGGGTGTATGTGTGTTTGTCGGTTTGTTTGAGTATATCTAAATGAAAATTCTTTTTTCAATTATCAATCTGGCTGTGCGAATTTTAGCATTCAGCACGTTCGAAGCTACTACAACGGCTTTGCATAGACAGACATCGGTAGATGCATCGTTAGATAGATTATGCGATTCGGTTTTGGCTTCGGCGACAAACATTGCAATATCGGTGTAAAATTGTTTCTCGCCTTTTACGAAAGTGGCAAATATTTACTTATTTGTCTGTCCGACAGCTTGTCTGGCCAGACTGTCGGATCAATGAGCAGCGGACGGGGCAACAATTGACGCTAGAATTATTTGACAAATCTGTTGAGCAACTTTATTAGTCGGAGTCATGCAAGCCAGAAAATAAGCAACTACTACTTGTAGGCTTCCACAGACGGACAGACACAGGCGTTCTTGCATTGCTGCGACACACAAATTACAAATTGTGCACCAATGCATCAATGCTGGGCATGCTTATGTCAAAACGTAGAAGGAAGTAAATTATTGTGTTGAGCACCGCGTATTCGATGCGACTCGTACACAACTTGTCTGTCCAAAACTAAATTTACACAACTTAACAACCTCCAGCGGTGGAGATACGCACAAGAATCTACCACCTACCGAACAACACCTTGTGTACAATGCATGTACGGGCATGTACACATATATGAGTACGTGCCATATTTGTGTACAAATGTCCGGGCGCATGGCTTTGAGTGGTCGATTGGATAATTAATTGCAAAGCAACACTCAATAAATAATACTGTTCACTTCGACTGGTGGGGGATAGGTGGCACGTTGTGCCGAAATAGCTCTCGCGCATTATATTAAACAGTTTTAATAGCACTGACTATTATCGCCTAATCAATCAATGGCATCGTCAGAATCCGTTTGCAAATTGCATTTTGTTGGCATGTTTAAAACGCCAGGAGAGTTTCGAGGATCTGCCGGACATTGATGTCTTAAATATGCAGCATGAACAATTGTTCCGGGAACATTATTAATTCGTTTTCTATTTCTATTTTACAGATCAGTATTCAGGAGACTACAGAAGCCGGATGGTAGCTTTGACCTTTTACTGTTGCCAACGATAAATTCAACACAAAATAGTTCAATTAACGCATCATGCTAAGTTGTCGCATATTGACATTTGGTCTGGTGGCCACACTTTCGTACGCCCTCACAGGAGTGCACGGCTCGCAATACAGCTCGAATATGTTCCTCAATGGTGAATACAAAAATGGATTGGCATCTCATCCGGACCATGAGTTCAGACCAAACCCAGCCGCTGCAGCTTTTATATCCATGCTAAGCAAACGCGCATCGCCCTTTGTGGGACAACAGTACTTGCCAACCCTGCTGGAGTGCAAAGGACGCGGACAGCAATGTGTGCCCAAAGACAAGTGCATAAACGGCTACTTTAACGAGCAGTTGCCCAAAGTCCAGGTGAGTCAATAATAGCAGCATTATATTTTTAAAAGCATAAAAGTTTGTAACCCATATTTAAATGTTAACATTTGAGGTTAACATCCCTCTAACTCCCACAAAAAATCATATAAATAGAGTTCAGGTACTTAAAAGGAATTGTTTTTAATTTTTGGGCATGACAGTTTCGTTCGGTATGAATAACATAAGGAGGTAGTATTGATTGACCTAACCCTTTGCATGAATTACTACATTTATTATTTTATTCATCGAATTTAATTTTGGGGGCTCATTTCATAGCCATCTTTCAATTCAATTTATAATGGCCACAGGCCTTTAGGTCTTTATGCAGACCAATTGGTTTTTGTAAAGACCTGTGGTCTCCAATTCGTTTTTATAAATCCAATTGAAAGTATATGGGCTGTAATGGGGTAAGAAAAAACCAAAGAATAGTGAAATATTGAATTCTAATAAATCAAATGGATGGATTAAAGAGTAAATGCAGTAATTGACGCAATTGTTGCAGTACGGAACTATTATTATAAAAATAAATAGTTTTTAAATCCCTATGTTTATTATTTTTTAACAATATAAGCGATTGTTGTGTAGAATTGTAAACGCAATCAAATTAAATTTAAATTAAGTGTCGTTTGAATGTAGAAAATTGAATGTGGTCAGACCATAGTCAATTAATGGCCAAGAATTGTGATTCAAAAAAAGTATATCCTAGGAGTTTATAACACCCGAAAGGCTGTGGCAACATAACCGTCATCACATTTCAATGAGCCGGTGGTAATTAGAAATCTGGTGAGATTCCACGTAAACAAGTTCCCCTCAATTTATTGATTGCCATTTGTTTTTGTTGCTTTTGTGGCTGTATTTGTTGTTTTATTTTTGTTATTTTTTTTTAATAAACGCAACAATGATTAATTTATAATAAATGTGTTTGTCGAAGTCTGTGCGAAACGATTGTCTCATGGCAGAGCAATGGGACCGGTGCTGATATCTCAGGTGCGTGTGTGTGTGAGCGCGGGTCTTTCAATTACATAATCAGAATTGAATTTGGTTTTACCCATTATATTATTTTTATTTATATCTATATATACATACATATATATATACATATATATTTTTTTTTATTTTGAACAAAACAACAGACAAACAACGAACAAGCAACAAACAGCGAAAAGCTATTTGGAAAAAAACGTTTATCAATTCGACGGTTTATATAAATTTTATGCAGATAAGCCAGCTTAAAGGTATCACAGAATGTGAGTGTGTGTGTGTTCATATGTGCGTATATGTGTGGATGGCGACGAATTCGTTTACTGGGTCGTGATGGTGGCGATGGGACTTCTCTCGACTTCGGCCGGTAGCTGTCTTAGTTTATTAAACCGTTAATTTCCGACCATCACCATCACCCGTCCTTCGAACTTTCCTGCACAACATATTTTCGATTTTATTTGCATTATACGGTTTATCACACATACATCACCAACGTCTTTTACCAACATTGAAATTTCGTAACTTTCATGAAGTGGTTGGAAAGCAAAACCATGGAGCCTGTATGGTATTCGGCAATGCGGCAACGTGGCGGTGACAGTGGACGTGGCACATACACGTACACACGTTGGTATATATCGACGAAGATGCAACATGTCGGTCATATGTTTGTCTGGAAAAAGTATGTCGAACGTAAAAATGCAACTCATCTCTTGATAATGCCCCAAGTTCATGTTTAATTGCGAAACAGGTTTATGATGCAGTCAAACCAAAGAGAAGAAGACGCACAGCAACAACAACAAAGAAATAAGTCTTTTATGCAAATTCCACAGCAAAAAAGTACACACAGCAATGAACTTAACCCTTTGCAGGTGCTCAGCACAGCAGTGGGCCAATAACAACATTACATAAGAACTTAAAGGGCGCCACCAATAGTTATTCATGAACCGTGAATCGATTACGGTTGAAACGGGAAAACTTCAAATATAATTACAACGATTGAAAGCTATGTTGAATCTCTGCTATGTTGTGTTTCATCCACAGAGAACTTCGGCAAACTCCCCGTGCTTGTTCCTTATATATATTTTTTTATTTTTTTTGGCTGATCGATAATTTTTACAGCTTTCAAATCGAAAACTAATTTTTCCATTTTGAAATTTATGACGAACCAATAACGTGGCGTCATGGCGTAAAATCCAATTTACAACACCGCAATGTAAGCATCTCTGCCATTTCACGTCAACACACAAAAGTTAAGGGATAGGTGTTTCTAATCGCCATTCCGAAATTGATTTTAAACGGGTTTTGTTGCAGGTGTTGTTGTTGCGATTCCGCCAGTTTCGAAATGCACTGAAGCCTAAAATAAATTCACAACGAAACGCTAATTGTGTGAAATCGAGTTATTTAGTATGTGTGAATTTGCAAACTGGCATCAATATGTTTTCCGCGTTTCCCAAAATGTGTACACAACGAAGAATCAAAATAGTATTCGCACTGAGCACACACTAAGGAAACAATCAATGTTTTTCTACTGATATTGAGATATATTTAGGTGATAGCATCACGATCAGCTGTCATGCCCGAGTGCTCCCGCACAGTAGCCTTCTATTCGGACAATGACACTATGAAAAACGTGATACGACGTGACAATTAAGTTATCACATCCTAGGCACACCAATATTGTTGAAATTTAATTGACAGCGTAACGTTGAGGTCAGATTCAGATCCAGCATGGTTACACCATAAACATATTCATTAAAATCTCGCTAATCCGGACAACTGATAGCATCCGGATTTCCAATTTGTTATAATTTTATTAATTTAGAGATCATTTAAATTGTTTTAAGTTTTTTTTTTGACATTTCAATTGTTTTTTGTAATTCGTTTTGTTTTTCAGTTGTAATTCAAATTCAATTTGCAACATTTCATGTGCAATTTTACTTTAAACTTTTCATATTAAATTCAAAATTCAAAGAACTGAATTTGAAATTCATAACATTTCACTTGAAATTCATAATATTTCAGTTGTAGTTCGTAATAGTTCATTTCAAAATCACACTTATTCTTTTTGTGTTACCAATAATGTTTTCTAATTTAAAATTAAATGTTATGAATAACAAATGAAGTGCTATGTATTTCAAATCAAGTGTTATGGATTTCAAATGCAATTTTATTAATTTCAAATGTAATCCTTTGAATTTCGAAAGGTATTCTATGAATTGCAAATTATATGTTGTGAATTACAAACGGAATTCTTGAATTACACTATGAAAAACATGTGAATAGGGTGTAGTTTATTTTTCTACTTGGAATATGTTTCAAAATTAGCACATTTTATGCGATAAATTGAAGATTTTTGTTCAATTACTTTCGTTGAGATAAGTTCTTTCCATTCGTATTTTTGTAATACAGACAACCCCTAAAATACTGTGTGCAACATATAAAGCGGGTGTATCTCTCCAAGCTTGGTACAATTATAGAAGGTAACTGGAAACCTTATATGACTTTAGCACGATAGCTTCTCTATAATATTCGAACATGTTACTAAATTACTTTCCCCCAGAAATAGACAGCCCACAAATTCAAGATCACCAAATGCTTACACGCCATACAGTCATTGGCGGATTACACTACACACGATAGGTGATGACGATATAGAATACCAAAAACTGCAACTGACTCAACTTTTTGGCGTGGGGACAACAACAACAAAGCAAATGGAAGTGATAAGAATCGATGTGTGAGACAAGTCGTTGAGGCATCAATAAAAAGCACCCACTGCCTAGAATTGTTATGGTTATTTGTATGACAGATCAGATTTGTTGTGGCGTTGCAGAACTTCGACAAAACAATACAACACACAGATACCAATTAATACAGTTCCGTTGAAGTGAACATTGACTCGTAAATTCATTAAATTCAAATCGTATTTGGATAGCTAGCGATTGTTTATCTATGGGGGCGACATTTCCATACTGGCGATTGTTGGTTTTCGGAATTGTGATTTTTAATTTCTCTTTTATTCATACATAGAATTTGGATCTAGGTCGTTAACATTACACAAAAGCTCTTATTGTGTAACATTCACCCACACATACCTTTAAGGGCAAACTTAGGCAGATCCGAACAATACAACATGTCAGATTGGCTACGAAGATGCTTTCAATGATGAAATATGAAATTGGTAACAACAAGATGCAACACGTTGTAATAATAAGATGAAGCAGTTCTGAACTGAAACATGTACTGTTCACCAATTGAACACGGAGACGAGACTAAAAGGATACTGTAGGCGTTCAACAGTTTGTGATGGTCCAAAATGTTGCAAACGTATTTGTTATCTCTTCGTAGCAAAGCTAATCACCCCTGAACGATTTCATGTTTTCTTTTGTATTGTGACAGCTTCATGCTGAGATTTACATTTTTCGCAAATCATGCTGCAAAATGTAGTCATTCATTTTATTGGACATCAGTGACGATCATCATTAGCTGCCAAAGCAACAACAAAAACCAAATATTTCAACTCAGAATGGAGATTCGTGGTAGTTGATGTTTCTACATTATCGACATGCATTCATACATCCAACACATGAACATAGTTATTTGTACAGCAAGCTGTCAATAAATAAATTGCCATATTAATCAATGACAACCAAATTATTGTAAACGATCTAATCGATGCTGGCTGTTGCCGAACCAAAGTCGATCCAACGTAGAACCCATCAAACCAAGTGGCATCCAGCAACAGTGTTCGTCGCTGTATGCTAAATTTTACTAGTGAACAATGCGGAATCTAGCATGGAACTGGAATGAAGGGAGGGACACAGCTAGTATTTATTTGAATATGGGTCAGCACCCCACCCCATTTATGATCTTCATGTTACCAGAAAACAGGCAATTTGTCACAGCAGCAGGCACGATGTTATGAATAGTTTGAAGACAACAACTCTAGCAATTTCTTGTACATACTCTTTTCCGGAGCCTGCACAAATCCACAACTTTTAAATGTTTAACTTCTTTCGCGTTATATGTTGAGGATCTTTGGAATGAGATCCTCAACATATAACGCGAAAGCGTAAGCATTAACAGTACTACAGTCTACAGCACAGACATTTCCAGGTATTCAATATACCCCCTAATCCTGCAACGGAGAATTTTACAAGTAATCGAAATACGTACATTTCAAAATATGTTAACGATTATCGACTTGGGGTGCATTGGGAGGCACCCAAATTGCAAGTTTCCTAATAGTAGCCTCCGATGCTGAATAATTAGATACAGTATTTCCCTGGGCTTAATTCACACCTTGATTGATGATTTTAATTTCGGTTACAGTAAGAAACCTCCATTTGTCTGCTGAATGTCAGAGCCCGGAGGTTAGGCTTCATTGTGGCCAATGGTCATTTGTACAGCTAAACGTGGTGGTTCGTTTTTGATACACTGACATATGCCAACGCTAAAGACACATGAACATTTATCGTTGTCAATGTGCGCCACACGCTGTCCTCACCTCTGCCAATGCTGCCCGTGGCACAAACATTCAACAGATCTGACAGAAAGATGTAACATTGCCAATTGTTGATATTTGATACTGGAGTACTGCCATCACCGACATCCACATCTCCATCACTGGCGTGCACAGTTGTAGATGGCGAATGATCAACACGACAGCGACAGTGACAGTGACACCAACAACAACGACAGCCGACCAATGAATTTACTAATGGCGTTAATATTGCGCTTGGGTGTTGCATATTTGTTAATCATGTGCATGGTGAGCGGTCAATGAATTGGTCCAGCCTCTGTGGCAACATTCGTCTGAATCCAAGAGAACAAATTGGCCATAACAACCATTCAAATTGTCTGTGAGTGAGTGTGTGTGTGGACTTCTCGAATTAAGAAGAAGTGGCGAACAACTTATGTGGACAGCTCAATGCAATGCTTGGATGCGATCGTGTCGTCTTGCCTTATGGCAAAGAGAGGTCAATTCAAATGCTAAGTACGGATGGAGATGAGCAGCAATGGACACAGATCGGATTGTGTGGGGCCAACTTTTGTCAGTCGTGTGTGCGGCTGTGTGCTGTTGCCGTATGCAAAGTGGCAACGTGTTATAACCAGTCCCCGAGAATTAACATCTAAACGCTCAAATCGCCAATGACAGATCATTTATTAGTTATGTTGCATCGTTTTTTACGATGTGGTTCTTCTGTATGGGTTTTGCATAACCTTTTTAACCTGTCTTTAATTAACTTGCAGTTCTTTGTTCAGCAGTCCGAACAAGAAGACCATCGGAATTGTTATTCGTTATTAATTGTTGCACAAACACGCTCACAAACAACGACATTTCGCCTCGCTTCAGTTTGAGCTAGTACCTACTCCCCATTGCCACGATACGGGCGTGTCTCGCTCTATTCCGCCTATTCTTGTTGTAGGACTGAATGATTTATGATCTGCCACTAGCAATGACTTTACGTATTTCAAATGGCAAAATCAAATCGAATGCCAGTTTCGCATTCGTTCATCGCAAATTCGTCAAGCCAAGATTGGCACAGGCATAATTAGCGCCATGGTGATCAGTTGCAGGGGTTCCTTAGTAAAAAAGAAAAGTGTTTGTTGGTTGTCGGTATATTCAATAATAGTGCGCAAATTGACAGATCTGGAGTTTCTGCAACTGATAAATAGAACATTGCCGATCCTGTCACATAAATATGAGTTTTAATTGTTTGTTTTTACTCTCTCTCTCTCTCTCTTTTCAGAACTGTGCTCCAGAAGAAAATGTTTGCTGTACATACAATCCGCCTACCCAACCACCCACTACATCCACTCCCTACACCACATGCTCATCTAATATGGCATGTGTCCCTCCGCGTGATTGCCGCAATGGAGAAATTCTTGCCAATGCTGTAGTAACTTTGCAAGTAAGTATTCATTAGATGCGATTGAAAACATGATTCCATTATTGAAAAATTCACTTCAAACTAATGCCAGAAAAATTTAAATTCGCATATTCAAATAGTCCCTAGCAAGTCTGGCGTTGATAAAAAAACGTCGATGCCGATATTGAAATGTCAAGTATTTGTAGTGTGGTGTATATCCGCAAAACGATAGAAATCGATTGTCTGCCATCCGATATCATGAACCAAAGGTGCCTTTAAGCGGACAATGTGAATTTAAACAATCGAAACCGTTTTCAAAACCGACAGTTACACAAATACAGTGTGTGTGGTGGTTTTGGTAAGTCGGTACATGACTTACCAAAACCACCACACAAACACACAAATATTCACTCATGTGCATTCGGATGCCAAGTAATTACAAAGACTTCTCGTATTTCAATTTGATTAATAGATCGTTCCTCTAACAGGTGAATGAGTACACCAGCCGTCGTCTACAGCAATCCAAAGACATTGTGTCGTTGCTGCACAGCAGCTGCGCCAAAGCGATTGCCTTATCATCATGAGTGTTGCACAAACCTAGCAGAAAAAGAACGTTTCGAGTCGAAATTTAAGATGCCGCTTTGGAAAAACACGACAATTACAAAATACTGACTCTGTTTGAAAATATGTTGCAATTCGATGTGAAATATTGCTGCCCAGTAGCATATGGATCAAAGAACGGCAGCCAATGACAAAGGGTCCATTACATTTACCCATTTGCATTGCCGAAACGAATAGGCACAGCAATTAGACGACTGCTGGTGGCAACCAATGACGGGATACCCTTATAAATAAAATTGTGATATTATTGTGAAAAACATTAAATTTAGGGCTCGTACTTAAAATACAACGTACACGATCGATGTTTTAACCACAAAAATTGCATACTAGAGTTATGACATTTTTTCCCGGAATCACATTTTGATAAGTTTTACATAATATTAGATAAAATCGTAATGACTGGGCGATTCTATAGGGCCCTCAGCCACAGAATCATTTGAAATTGTGATCGATTCAAAATAAGATGTCTACAATGAATTGCAAATTAAAACGTCAAGCGTTCATCGATATCTCTGACCAATGTCTCAAACTTTACATAAGTTATGTGACATTTCGTGTAAGTTATAAAAATTTATACAGTTTTGGGTATAGTATTATGTATGATTAAAAAACAAAAAAAATATTTTTTTCACAAAAACATACCATAATTTCGAAGTGACTTTTGCTGGACATTTTGTAATCAATAAATAGAATAAACCATATTTTAGTCATTAATAGGCAAAAGTTCATTAATTTCTATTATTTTAATGGGGTTTGAGAAAAAACTAAACAATTCCTAGTCCTATTAAACACGTCTAGTTATGTGAATGCAACCAAAATACGTAGAACTTTCGAGATTTTAAATTTGGACAAAAATTAAACCCAAACATAAATTGTTGATGAATTTATAGACTATTTGAATTACTTCTTTGATTGTGTGGTGTGTGTGTGTGTGCGTGTTTGTGAAGATATGAATCCGGCGGTACTAAATATGAAACATGTGAACATTCAATGGTCTGTTCCGGTACGGTAAGGAACTTTCGTTAACGTTGTAAAAAGTAGTAGTTTCTTGCAGTAGGGAAACAGACCACAAATATTTAAATATGTCAACATGTATGTAAATAGAATAATTCCCTACTACAGTCCATTCATATGGACGAAATGTTGGTCAACGGTGACTGGATGGGTCATTTAGTCCTCCAAAATTAGGAGCATAACTGTTAGTTTTTTTTCTTTTGCTAAATAAATATCAATGGTAACAGCACCGTCATCCGTCCATATACATCACACTCCAACGAATAACATGCCAACGAACAATGTTAAGCTATCGTTCGGCTTCGTTACACCTGTATGTGTATATGTTTACAGTTGCTTCTACTTAACACATATTTATCCATTAAATAAATCGGATTAATTGCGGAATGCATCTCCCCCACATCTCGCTTTACTGCGACTTCGGCGATTTGTGCATGTGATCGGATTGGTGAAACAAATACAAGTCACAACAGAACGCCGGTTTCATGTCAATACCTCTGCAAAGTTTTATGTACAAATTATGTGCCTTTGCAGATTTATATTTATTGTATTGGCATTGGAATCAGCATACATGCATATATAGATGCATCAGTGCATAGTTTGCAATTGTATTGCCAAACTGTCTATTATTCGTTTCGATTTGGCTAATATTCTCACACATGTGCTTGGCAAATAATTCGGTATGTACCAATGGACGACTGTGGGGCCGTGTATGCATAATAACAAGGCCGAATTTGTACACCATTTCCAAATTCACATAGATAATAATAGTAAGCATGCTTGTTCGTACCAGTGTATCGTCACATAATTTATGCAACAACACTGTAATGGGAATAGTGCGGCAAATCTATAATACCTATTTTGTAAAATTATGACAGTCGATATCGAGTTGTTTCGATCGATGTCTTTCAATTTGGTATGACCGTATTCGATATCGACCACATGTCGTCAAATATCATATAAAAACAGTCGAGTCTTTTACTTGAAATTTTAAAGGGACATTCTTGAATTGGTGTAAGGTGGAATTTTATAAGAGAGTAGTTCCCAATTTCTCCACCTAAATTAAAGTATGTCATCTTTTTTATAATATAAAAATGTAAATTCTTATATTTTATACAAAGCTGTTTATTACTAAATATTGAATATGTGATATTAATATACTTAATTGAGTAGTTAGCCACTTGCCAAACATTCAAATATATTAATATTTTTAGAATAATACCTTCTAAGGTATCATTGAGAAATCTTGTTAAATGGAGTAGTATAGTTTACAATTTAATTGAAATCGGCTTTAATGGCTCCAAATTGCATTTTTTGGAATAATTAAATAAATAAAATAAATTTTTTCGATGAATATTATTTGTTGCTGTTAACTAAACAATGTCGTTTTTTCTTTATAGTCGAAAAAGTGTTTAGCGCCGAATGTGTGTTGCGGCGTACCCTCTACCATGCTAACGCAAGATGGTTATGTTTTGAAAACACCACCGACACCACTGACGTATCCATCTCCTGAACCTTTCAAGACGACTACTCCAGTGAATAAAAATTATTTACCCCCTGTAGCAGCTCGTAAGCCACAACAGGCGCAACCACAATCCCAATCGCAAATACTATCTGAAGTCCAAACTCAAGTAAGACCTACCAACGCCCCTGTTCGGCCAACAGAATCCAAATATAACCCCAGGGAACCTTCGCAACGACCTCAGAAACCCACGTTTGTCACACCCGCCCCTCCAAGCCGAAGAATACCATCAACAACGCCACCAAAATATCTACCGCCTGTCGAGCATAAGGAGGAATCATCAAATCAAGAAAATGTCATCTTGCGTGGTGAAGATCAATTGTCTCCACAAATTTTCCCTACGAACCAAAAGAGACGACCAGGACAGTTTGTATCCGCTGAACAGTCTTCCATTCCCGCGGTCCCCGCCACTCCCTCGAAGTGTGCCTCAGCTTTAGTGTGCACCGATGAGAATTATTGCAGTGCGATCGGTGTTATTAGCGAAACTCCCGTGGAGATTACTCCTTTCAGAGTACCCTTAACCGATTGCATTATTGAAGGTACCGGGGCACCCGGCAAATGTTGCCGCGATGCTAACTATGTTGATCCTTGGCCCGTGAATTTGGCCGGTGTGTGTGCCCAGAGAAACAAGGTATGTACTCATTGACTCGCCCATGCAACCGAAAATAATACCTGTTCCGTTTACAGAACACGAAACCACAAGGCGTCAAAGATATAGATACCAATTTTGCTGAAATTCCATGGCAAGCCATGGTCTTGCAAAACTCCTCGAAATCCTTGTTATGTGGAGGCGCAATTATTGGTGATTCCCTTGTTCTGACAACAGCATCTTGCGTACAAGGGTAAGCATGCATTTATTTCATTGTCGGGCGGTGCGTTTAAAAAAAATACTATAATTTTAGGGTGTCTGTGGCAGATCTGCGAGTCAAAGCCGGAGAATGGCAGCTGGGAAGTACTGACGAGCCGTTGCCATTCCAATTAGTTGGAGTGAAGAACGTCGAAGTGCATCCAAATTACGATCCTCGTAGCGGATCCAACAACATGGCCGTTATACATCTCTCCCAACGTCTCCAGTTCGCCACTCACATTCAGCCAATCTGTATTAGTGACAAGGATCCCAGTCCATCAGAGACATGTGTGACCACTGGATGGGGCAAGCAAGCACTGAGCAGTAAGTTCTATTTGATAGTAAATTTTCATCAGCAGGCCTATATATGTATCTTCATTCCTTTGCAGTACACGAAGAAGGAGCCATCATGCACGTGACCACAACCACACCAACGTCTCGCAGCGATTGCGGCGCCGATAGCAGCGGTGTTTGCAGTACTACTAAATTTGATGCATGTGAATTCGATTCCGGAAGCGCCCTCGCCTGTGGAACCGGTTCCAGTGTTCTACTGAAGGGCATATACAGTGTTGAAAATGGATGCGGGGAAGGTGAAACCGTGCGCTTCATCAAACCAGATGTCGCCTGGGTGAATAAACAGTTCCTCGAAAGGAGTAAGCCACTTCTTCTCAGAGTGTAAAACGACCTGTGTGTGGCATCCAGTCTGAAGAGCATTTGTGCTACCTGGAAACTAGTTCTCATATTTGGTGTTTGATGACCCAAAACTCACAGCTAAATTATTTGACATTCCATTCCAAGTCACAAACCCTCTATTTTTTCCATTTCATGTATTCCCACCTGCTCGGGCGATGGACTGGTGGAAATTAGTTATCGCCCCTCTATATAATGTTTTTGTTCTTATCCCCGTAGTCCAGTAGTAACATTTTCAGTGCGGTACTCAATTTCGAACGAGTTAACGTGAGATTACATACTTATATAATTATTATTTATACCTAATTCACATTAATGATATATAAACGAAAACTTTCTAAATTTAGCTTGTAATTTAGTTTATAATAAAGAATGTTTTTAAATAGAAATCGTTTGTCACTTCATTCTACTGTTCGATCAATATATAGTGGGTCAAATGGACCCAGACTTTTGTGTGTGGAAATTGGAAAAATGTGCATTCTATGGCGTATATAGGCCATAGACCGGATAAGATTACAGTACATCCAAGAAGTGTGGTTAACCATTTAATTGATACCACTTACGTTATTGTATTTTCTCGGATGTGAGAGTTTTACAGGAGCCTACTGATATCTGACATTGTTCAGTATTACCAGACGACAGGACGGAATCGTTTTGAAATGGTGCATGTAGTTCCGGTTATGGTCAATAACGACGGGGTGAACTGAGGAAACTGATGAAGATCTGTAGGAAGATCCGAAACTATACTCTTCCCTGCCTCACCGTTTGGCGGCGGTGTTTAGATACAGAATATTGGGCCATAGCGAATATATTCAGGGGTTCAAAAATACGCAATCGTTTTAATAAATGAACCTATAATCGAAAGTAATATATCATATGAAAGCTTAAATCGTCTTCGTTCAAATTCATCTTTGCAATGAATAGTCGACAGAACATATCTCCCTGGTTATCTGATCATTTGATTTCATTGAGACATTTCATAGACTCTGTTTAATAGACATTTCATAGACTCTGTGCATGCATTCAGAAATTTCATCCGACGATACCGAAATGGTGATATTCACCCCTACTCCGTATGTCGTCGTCGTTATCGACGACGTTTCTCTTTCGACATCACTTCGACACTGATTTGGTATTCTGTAACACTCATGGCCTATAAATAAGGTCACCAACTGAGACCAGCTGATTATCGATACCTCTCAAGTTTACTGTCAAAATGCATTATTGTGAATTGACTCCCATTATGAAAACGTAAACAAAGTCCAAATTTTTGACATTAGACTTGAGAAAAAACAGCTGTTTTCCGATTTCGATTGCTATCTTGGTGACCTTATTAATAGATCTTGGTAACACTCATGCGACGATGTCGACTATTTATCGATAATATCAATAAAAACAAAAAACACATCTCTAAAAATGTGGTCAGTTGTTTATTTTGTTGCATATTTTTGGGCAACAATGTGTTTGTATCCTTCACCGCACTGTGTGCAACGACCAAAAAGAAACGAGGTAGGCCCAAAGTTACTTTTTAGTATATATGTACATAGAATTATTTTTCAGTCGATTTATGCATGTCCCTCCATTCATGTATTATTTTAAACAAGTTACATGCCACCATTATAATCCGAACGGGATGAAATTTGGAAAAAATCCATCCAATTGGGATGAAATTTTATTTCCACATAGACGAGTCCTATTGACATTGGTCAAAATCGGTTCAGATTTATATATAGATCCCATATATTTTTCTTTATTTACACTTTATTTTATATTAAGTATTAGATTCTAGAATGATGTATCCTGTTCTTGTCCGGTCATGTTTTTTTTTAATTTCTAAAAAAAAGGTTCAAACGCTTCTGTCGTCAACAAAAACTTTGAGAAGAAATCTTCGACATCGTCGTCGTCTCATATTGTTACGGAATACCAAAAATGTTTCAATAGTTATCGATAAATGTCGACAACGACATAGGGAATACCACTTTGCAAAAGACGACTCTCTTCGACGTCGTTTCGTGTCGACGACATGCAGAATAGGGGTGATTAATTCATTTGGAACACTGTTGACCGTTTGGTCTGTTGGAAGTGTCAAAGGAGCTAGTCATTAAGGAACTTAACGCATTGGACATCAAACAAATTGTGGTTCATATCTTGGCCTTATTATGCAGAACAATCTGTTATGGAATTCCCACATTGAAAAATTAAAGACAAAAGTTTCATCGTCAACTGGAATTTTGCACAAAGTTAGTCTTTTGAATACAGAGAGTAAGATAATGATATACCACACGTTGATACACTATCATTTAACATACCTACTGGGTATTTATACCTGTAAAAATAGCAGATCATTAAGCGAATTGCAACATGCTCAAAATAAGGCATTTAAAATTGCGACAAATAAACCAAGACGATATTCTACAAAAATACCCTAGAAAGAGAAAATAAAAAATGTTCTTCCAATACGTGGTTTATATATGCAACACATTGCACTAAGTTACGTTTATAAATGTCTGAATTTGAATGGTTTGGGCTGAAGGGTTTTTAGTAATAACTATGATAGAACTGCAAGACACACGCGATAGGCTCGACAGTTACATGTAGCGAGACGCCGAGTTGAGAAAACTACTTCCATATCTCAACACTACACACCAATTCTAAATTCAACTATACCAAATTTGGTACCATTTAATACCTTGTGTACTCTAGTTGTATTTATTTCCAAAACTAATTCCATATTTCAAGATTCGAGTTCGATATGTTTACCAAAAACCAAAGCTTTCCAAATGCAGTATCCATTAATGAAATAGAAATCTTATTTCCCAATTTCAAGATTCCAGCCTTAATGGTTTACGCAAATCCAAATTGTAACATTTAGTACACATAGGTACGCATTTCCAAAACTTTCTACATACCTCAATCCTACACCCCCAACCGTGATCCTAACTCCAAATTTCATCAGCACCATCGATTTACCCAAAAGTCAAATTGTACCAATCACTTTACTCTTTGATTAGTATAGATTGTCTAATGCTTATGCATATTTTTAATTTGTCTTTTATTTTTCATTCCAGGTTTTTATGAATTATATATGCTCGAATTTCCGTATGATGACAATCGCAAACGATATACAAATTATTTGAAAATATGGCAGGCGCGCCGATAACGATATATATGTATTATATATATATATCTCAATCATAAAATTCCACAAGGAAGGATTACAATAAAATATAGTCCAAATAAGTGGGCTAAGTTGTTAAGAAACTTATTTATTAAAATTTATATTTAATATATTGAATATTTAATATAAATATGAATAAAAAATAAAGAATAATGAATTTACTAAAAATACTATTTGTTTTTATTTACGGATACAACAAATATGGTAAGTATACATGCCCCTACGCATGCGATATAATTTGTATGATGACGTCACAATTTTTAATTCACCTGGTTGTACGCATTTTTTGCGCAAATTTCACAAAACTACCAGGCCCCGAAAAAAATAGAAAGTAGCCCGCCAAAAAATGTAAAAAATTGCATCTTGCAATGTCGTAAAAAGAAATTACAAAATTTGTAACATACTTTTAGACATTCGAATTTTGCCAGACCAAAATTTTTCGATTTTTTTTTTGCGGGCAACTTGCCACTTCATTCTGGGCACCTGGCATTTTTTGAAATTTGCGTAAAGTTGCACCAAATTTTTGGGATTTTTTTTTTTCAAATTAATTGGGAGCCATTATTGTGACATTGGGCGTTATTGTTACAAAGAATCCCCACTAATAGATTTTTTAGACGTCCATAAATAGACACACATTTTTAGTATTTTTTAAAATCTGTTTATTTGTTGTATTTCAATAAACGAAGAAGAAGCAAAGACATAACTCAACTACATACACTATTTGCTTAATAGTACTTAATACAATGGTAGTGTAGAGGAACAAATTGATGAACGATGTCAGGCTCAGCTGGATATTTTCTTTCATTGCTCAAACCTACGAGGCATCCAGAACAGGTAGATAGAAAAGTTAACTAATTGGCAAACTGCGGGCTTTTAGCTCAGTAAAATGAACCAGGTTTGATAAACGGAACAACATTTTTGGTCTCATATCAGGAAATAGCAATCGAGCAACACATAAAGTCGTGGGTTTTTAAACATGTTTATTTACCAAGGACCACAAATGAAAGTGGGTCTCAGGGCTGTCTTTCTTGAACTGTAAGGTATCATAGTGAAGTAAAAAATTAGTCATTGGTAGGGAAACGGCAAATTTTATTTCGAAAACTTAGTTAAGGTTCTAAAAAATTATTCACTGCGGTCGCTAAATTACCAGGTCGTTAAGGAAATTTAAATCGGTATATATCTATATTAATAAAAGAGTAAGGAATAGCCGCTTAAGTGGGTCGATCATAACATAACATTAAAGAAACGTGTTGTGAACCTTTTTAACAGAGCACGCATTTTTATAAAAGAAATCAATGATTTGAGAGGCTTTTTTGTTTGTATGACTATTCATCATGAAATTATAGCCCGAACTAAAGATGTTTGGCAGTGAAACAATGACCAATATTTAGCCATTAATATGACACCTTTGCTATGACTATATAGTACCCTGATAAAAAAAATACATCTTGTAGAAAATAATTGTAAAGAAAAAAATATTGATCAGACAATACCCTACAGGAAAGCCCTCTTTTGGGGCGGAATGAATTTAATTTATAGCTTCATACTTACCTTCCCGCAATCAACCACAAAAATAAAATAAAAACCCATTTTTTTTATATTTTCATAGTTTCATTTAGAAAAAGAAAAACAATTTATTATTTCGTTTCTTGTTTTTAATTCATCGTTGCATTTACTTTCAGTTATTAAAGACTTATGAAAAAATTTTGTTTGTACAAGAAATACACATAAAAATATACTTCTAATTTCGAACTTACAAACAAAAATATGTATACGAATTAATTTACAACAATACTAAACACTACAAAAAG